TTCCTATGGAGCCTAAAGTTGTAAAGCTAACGAGTTGTTGATGCATTATCGTCGCCTTGGTTGCAGTTTGTAAAACATATCTTTTTTATACTTTCCTTTCCTGCATTAATTAATATTGAAAGAAAAAAGGCTAGGCGATTCAGATAGATATTGCCTCATAGTATCACAAAGAACTTTAACTTTGAAACAAAAACTGCTATTAGAGCGAAAAATTCGATTTATGCATGAGGCCTCGACGATGAGACATTTCTTTATTAATGTTTACCTTTGCAACATCAGAAGGGAATATGCCTTCGTTTTCTAAGCCTTTGCAAGTTCCTAGACGCTATTATCTTTTTAATTACGATGACAGAATGTGTGTGTGCCACAAAACGAAATAATACGGAAAGAAAAAATCATACGTCGCTTTTTAAAAGCGGATGGCGCGCTCGGTATCTCTCGAGCTCCTTTGTTTGCTCAATTTGATTCAGTTTTATGAAGACTATTTCATTATGAGTATGGAAAAGATTGCAAACAGCGGACCAGTGTTGGTTTTCATTACGAGAGAAGCAAGAGTCTGAAAACAAAAACGACAAAACGTTGAAATGCTTCTCACATCGCATCGCTTCAGTTAAAAGAGCCAGCATTGTTGTCCTATATTGGATTTTAACGCTTCCCTTTGACCAAAGTAAAGCATTGTTTCACAGGTGGTAGGAGAAACATAGTAGTTTTATATAATACACACGTTTCCACAACTAAGTCGTAAGCATCGCGGCTAATTAAAAGACCAACAGTTTGTGTTACAGCGGGTTTGAGTGCAAACTGCATAACTTTTAATAACTAACAAACAAGTTTTAACTAGTAAACATCACTGTCACCATTATGATCCAAGTGTATTGAAACTCTGGTGTGTACCATGTCGAAACGCGGTAACAAGCGAGCCAACTTTCCCTGCGTGTGTACATATCAGCTTTGTGGAAGTTTCAGCTATTTTGTGTGCTGTAGGCTCTCAGTTTTTTATGTGGTTACCTTGTGTGTTTTCTGTTTTCATTTTAACATTTATAATAATGGATATTTTTCGAAATGTACAGGGATTTAAGGAAAAAACTTCATTCCTTACAATAATGTAACGTATATTTTTGATTTCGGAGAAATGATGTCCCTAAATGAGTGTAAATAATCCTCTACAAACAAGCCCAGTTTAGGTCAATAAACAGATAGAATTATAAATTGCAAAGTAAATGGCAGTGACATTTGTGTGAACATATATTGACAGTTTATAATATTAAAAGCATTGTAGGTCATGTCTTTGAATAATGTTCATTTTGCCTCAAGGGTTAATCAACATTATTTTCCCATTTATGATCCAACTCATTATTATTTTACGTAATGAACTTCACCCCATCATAAAATAATATTTGCTTGAAATGCAATGACACAAATATTTTCCTTTTAAGTTCTACATGAATATTTCATGCTTCCATTTTGTATTTATATAAAAGCATTCGGATCAGAGAACGAATTAATCTTTATTTATTTTTCTTAAAAATAATATTTGCGTAAAATGTACGTATGAACTTTATTATTTTCATTTAAAAATTCGTTTAATTTTATCGTTGGAAACCTTTACGTTTATTTATTCTGATTATTGCAGTAAAGCGGAATTCTCGGAAGGGGATTTTTCGATGAATCATTTCATGTGTAAATATTTATATTGAACTTTTGAATTAATAAATAATCACACACGGCATTTTAATGATGAAAATTATTTATAGATTGAATACTGAAACTAATAATGATAGGAGCATTAAATTTTTGCTATAAAATTGTTTCAATGGTATCATAATTACGGATTTCGGTGAACGTATGTGTGGGCATTGGAATATTTGGTTTTGAATTTGCGGTACAATGCTGCCCATGTTCGATATTCTAGGAACAGACTCATTCATCTCATAGACTCGCTTACAATCTCATCGAGGTGTGTGACAATAATTCCAAGCTCCTGATAAATGAACATTATTGGATTTAATTGTTCGAATAAATTTTCTTTTAGTTGACACGTAAAATAATGTTATTTAAACATATTGGGATATTGAATGCGCCATTGGTCGTTTAATGGAACGTTAGTAAGAACTGCGAGATGGAACCAATGAGCGTCCAGCAACAAGAGAGTAAAGAACGGCTTTAAGATAATAGGTAACAGTGCTTCAGTAAAACCATTAGTTTCATAGATTGTGAGATTAGATAATGATATACATAAATACATAGTACAATATGTTATAAAATGTAAAACAACAAATGACAAAGCGTGCAACATTTCTACACATATTTGAAAATCAACTACTAGTATTGTTATGGCGATATCGAGTACATTATACACTCGTTTTTGATCGATATCGGAATGATAACAACACTAATACTTGGTTTCAACTACCACATAATAGTCTAAAACATACAAAAATGTACAGAGTAACGCTGATAAAACGAATGATCCTTTTAAAATTACTCAAATGATTTTGAAACTTTATATCAACTGGGATATAGAGAAATCTAGCGCGTAAACTATTGAGGCTCCGAAACTGGCCTATTTGATCTGGTGCCCCCTTATATGTGCTTATATGGCCATCATGATTTTAGCTTGAAAAGAATCCAGTACTCTCTAAGTTTTTCTCCCCAAAAGCTAACTATAAATAAAAATCGTGAATGTAGCGTCAAATAGACTAAAATTTATTTCTTCTAATATTTTTTTTATACCATAAACATAGATTATAAATTTAGTGTCTACGGTCCAGCAGGGATGGCGTAACAAGTGTCAGAATACAAACAAATACTTTTATTATTTTAATATAATATTACAAAACAAACATTTTGAAAGATTTCCCATTAAAAAAAAGTATTATAATTAAATAAAAGACTTCTAACAGCCTCTGTTCACATGTCAAGCGTTAAGCGAGCGTTTTGATAACGCGCGCTTACAACTACGTATATTTTCTTACACATGTAACTATAAGCGTGCGTGCATAATTAAAACGCTCGCTTAACGCTTGCAATGTAAACGTGGCCTAACACACTTCTGTTTTCATCAATTAAAATTGTTTCCATTGAAAATCTAATTTATTAATTTTCTCTCATCCCCGACGTAGCTTGATGTAGATAAACAAATACAAAAAATCAAGTATTTATGAGTACATATTACGGTAGTTGAATTTTGTATATTATTATTTATTATTCAGACAAATAGGTTGGTTTGTTTTGCACATTCTATTTGACTAAAACATGGCATGGTAATTAATATTTGCTACTGAATTAATGTTGTGGTTAGTGATATGAAAAGCTAGGATTCGAACTAAAACTCTCGATTTTCCGTTATAATTGATATTTGCGGTTTTATTCCACTAATTATTTATCAATTATAATTGCAAGTACTTTTCATCATTATATCAATTAACATTTGTTGAATACGGCATAATTATCAAGAAAATAATTATACATTATTGTATAATTATATTATTATAATATATTGTATTTTATATTATGTATAAGGCGAATTACCTAACTTTTATAGTGACGATATTACATAACATAACGCCTCTTAATCCTCTAAAGGGTTAGCAGACAAGTAAATAGAAGTCCAAAGAAATAAGGAACAAGATACAATCAATCCCATCTTCAAATCAGACCCATCATAAAAGCAGTCTATTCATCCTACACAATACGATACAAATATCGTAACAGTAGTAATACGTAACTGTCAATGTCTTCTATAAATAAACCTACAATAAGTACTAAGTAAAAGTTGTAATCGTATCATAGTAAGAGTTCATACTCGATCCAATAGTTGAAGGTTTTATCAGCGTTCCTAGTTAGCGGCTAACTTGCTCTAAGTAAGGCGAAGTTCCGAAGCAGTTTACTTTTTAACCGAGCGACCCACCCAAGAATAAATATTCCTAGCGTATAATACTTTTTATCTTCATAAAAAGCTAATCTTCTGATTATCCAGTTATTAAAGGCTCCATAGTTGAACCAATTAACCTTATTTCAAATAAAATGAACCTACATTTTTAATATAAAATTCCGTTCGCATTTTGTAATGGAAAATAAGAGAAATAAATGTTAAAAGCATGGGGTGTGGATGAGTGAGTGGTTTCGTAAAAAATGCTTTTATTTTTTTTTAAGTAACCATTTAAAGCGTTACTGCATTTTATACAAACAAAGAATTAAAGAATGCGCATTTTTTGCTGTTGAATCGAAATACTGATTGGGAAATAAAATCGACAAGCAATGATTTTAAAATTCATTTATGCAAACAAAAATGTACCATGTTTGTAGGTTCAAACACAAATGAATGGAATCAATTCACTTTTGCTGCACGAAATCTCATTAAATCTACTAAAAATATTTCAGAACTCAAACTCAAACATTCCCATATTTGATCGTTGAAAGTTTCGTTCAAATAGTGTTCATCAAATTACATTTCGTGCGAAACTAATTCAGGTAAATGCAAGTTTTTCTCACTTCCATATGAAGTACTATTGGCAAAGTGGTGAGAGCTATTTCAACTTTGCGCGGTGAGGTGAGCAATGGTTTAGTTGCCGATGAAACAGGCCGCGGCTCCATACTTTGTTTGGCCTACTATCCTTGGCCTACTACCCACAAGTTAGCTGCTAACTTCAATCTCGATAAACAAATCTAAACCTCAGTACCAGGGCCTCAGAACGACTCGTTCTCTAACCTTATAACTTCAAAATTAGTTTACTGTCAATAGAAACAACATTTTATATTATCATTAAATATGTTTTCTTTTTTCTGTGAGATGTTAATATAACAAATTTGATTTTTCGTTTTCAAATATAACAGTCACTTTCAAATTAGAGATAATGTTCTCGTTTCTGAAAAGTAAATCATCGCGCAAATTTAGTTGAATATATTATTCATTTTGAATTTGTTTTAGGAACGAGCCATAGAACTTTCTCGCTTGAAACCCTGGTACGAATGATACGGATGCTAAATAATGATTTTACCTGAAATTTGGTCTATGGGTGAGTACAGAGGGGGTTCCTCCCCTCCCGGGTGTTGATGTTCCAGCAAACGATGACACGACTGTCTCATGAGCGCTCCCGACACTGACAGACAGAGAAACGGACATACGGCGCCATTAGATAACGCTTACAGTGCAGACACATGCAACAAACATCAGGATCAAACTACCCGGGTATACACGTAACGTTAATGGGTATCGCTAGTGTGTGTAGGTACACAATAGCAACGTAGAGTACACGGGAATCGAACCCGCAATAAACAGTAATCATAGCTCCAACCATGCCACAAAATACGCAAGGCGAAAACGAAGTGTAAAGCTAAGATATTGACCACAACATACATTTCTACGTAGTAAATATATTGTATACATAAGTGTTGTAGTTACATATACGTCATGCATCTCATCTAAGTTCGTGTATTCCAAATCTAACGACCATAATCTAAAAAGTTAAAAAATTACCTTTAATCTAGTTATTGTCATTTGACTACGACTGATGTCAGTCTAACCGGCGACATTGTGGTCTGAAACAATACAATACATACTATTAATTTCATTATGAGTCGTAGATAGAACGGTGTGTATGTATATACCCATCATCTTTCTAAATTACAATGAATTAGTGCAAAAGATTATACAATATCACACTGCCTTGTATAGACAGTGTCGAGTATGATTGTATTCCTAATCGTATCGCCTTACACCATCCATATAGCGTAATCAGAATACAGAGAATGGATTGCATCAGATTGATCTACAATTCAGATATCGATAACTAAGACGTGGCGGACGGTACGGACGCACAGTGCTACACATTACCGAGCCAGAGGCGAGCGAGCCACTCAAGTCCACAGCTATTATATCTCCAATCAATATCATACACACTATTCAATTCGTTATTGGCCGTTGCGGAGCTTCGAACTTAGAAGCTAGTTATAACTACAGGATAGCCGAGTTTCCATTAAGATTGTGCTCGGCTCGACGATGCAATCAGGTTTTAATTAAAATTCAAGTTAGACTGTGTCCGACGCGGTCATTCTAAGGATGTCCTATATATCTAAGATAGAATGCGAACTGCAGGGGCGATGCAGTCTGCACTGATTAATGCAGACGTACCGAACGACGCTCCAATTGGTCAACATTTCTGTTCCATGAGCATTCAGGAAAAATCTGCTGAAAGGAATACGCATATTTTCTCTATTTTCTCCACACATACACCAATGAAATAAAAATATCCGACATTCAAACGTTGTAACTTGGGCGGAGTTTGTTCGAGACTTGATTACGTCACACAAATAGAAATGTTACTGCGTTCACCAAACTTTTTCACTAGTTTCATTTCTCGTTGAAATTAAATCTTCTCAAACATGGATTGAAATTTGATTCGCGATAGCTTGTGGGAAACTAAAAGTTTTACGAATTGACCTGATCTTGATGTAATAATGTAACTTATATTTCAATGAAAGGAAGATGTTTAAAATTCTCGACTACCAGAGATATCATCACAACAGTTATATAAATGTTGATATCCAACTAAATTTTATGACTTCAATCATAGATCAGTATTGGTTTTGTATAAAGCTAGCTAAAGGCTGCGGACTTCATAGTGCAAGCCTTTGGAATGCGGGCATACGTGTGTGGAGCGTCTGTTTCTATACTAGCGTAGCCCATTGGGACTTCAATTTGCAGCGACCGGGACCGTACAATACAAGGCACTGGGTACGTGCAGGCTTTCTTAGACTCGGAGGAATATTACTAGCTACTTCTAAACTTCAAATGTACCTATTTAATCCGATACGTCCTTGCGTCACGAGTGATATACTCAACAATATAAACAGTATTGAGTCTAATAAATCTTTCTTCATTTTGTAGTTAAAGAGTACAGCGTTGACTTTCTTTGTTCAATAACAAAACGTATTGCCTCGTACATCCCGGTTGTTGAAGCTAAAAGAAACATCCGAGCTCCAGTCAAAGATGCCTGATAATCCTTTGCAATCCCATTGACCCGTGGACGGCACAAAGTCGTTGCGTTTCGTAGCAAATTGAATAACACGTACATAGAAAGCGATCCAATATCCAGGGCTGTATTTAATGCACTCTAATCGAGACCGAAAGGTAAGTAATGTATCGAATTCCGGTGCTGCCGCGTACTAACCTGGTTACCAAGGCCGTATTTCCAAACCAAAGTCCGGTGTCCAGTAAATGGTATAACGACAATCTATTGGCAATTCTAGTTTTGGTTAATTGGTCGAAGTGGGCTTCGAATTTCGTGCCAGGATATATAGTTCCGTTAGACACAAAAGTCAATATTCATTGGTTACATTCATTATTATTTTCATTTTGTATTCTAGTACAATGCAGTGAAACTTTGTTTTTATTGCCCAAGCCAGGCTAGGAGTCAGATTAGAAGAAATCTTACTTGTTGAGAAAAGCTGAGCGAGTCTGCGGGTGATATTGCGGATAGAAGCTTATCTTTCATGTTTATGTTTTTGCATTGTCAACAAAATTCACGTAGTTATTAACTACTATTCGATTATATTGTTCGTATTAGTGTAATTAGTTAATTAAAGCGGCATGTGCCCGGATTGATGGCCGTTGTCATTATTATGTTAATTAAGTGATAGATGATCCGATTACAGGTATCATATTGTGTTAGTACAAAATATGTGAATAAATCCGATTGCATATTTACATAATAACGTCCCCTCACGTCTCTAATTACCTTTTATCTCTCAGCAGCAGATTTTGTAATAAATGAAATATGGGACAGTTTTATTCTGGAATAATATACGCTTTGCTCTCTGTTTCCATGGAAAAGAAAAGAGATGGCGAAAAATCCTCGTCGTATATTTTGACACGAAAAAAGTAATGCTGTCGGTAATGAAAAAAGTCAGTTACCAGAATTTCTAAATATAAAGAAGAAAGATCCAGCGACTACTTCTTTTCACAAATTTTCTCATTAACGTCGTTGCCTATTACAAAGATAAATACTATTCAAAAACGATTTATAAGAAACCATACGTTCATGTAATTTTCCATCTTCAAAAGAGAAAAGAATATAAGAACATACCGTAGAACGTTCGATATATTTTTATTTCGACACAGAGCTATTAGCGTCTAAGCTCATTAAGTGATCACGACGCTTTGAAGGCGGAATTTCATTCGTTCGTACTCTCGACGTTCATTTAAATTATTTCACTTCGATACAAGATGTTAAGCGAATGTCAAATCCGCAACAAAGCGCCGGTTTTCACAGAGAAATAAGTGAAATACGACGCGCCTCTATGAAATAAACTACGTATAAATTAATTTGCAACATGGCGAATGGTAATGAATTTTTGCGACAAATTATAACGTATGAATATCTCTTTTCATTAAATTGCGTAACGTACTTAAAATTTTTATAATGAATAAGTACTTAAAAGTAAGTTTTAATTACGTGACCATATTTTTCCTCAACTAATGATGTAGGTTTTCTATTCACTGTACGTTTTTCCGCCGCCGAAAACAATCGCACGGCGAGATGTCTGCGCGACATTTTGTTTGGCGTTTCCAGACGCATTTCTGAATGGACTCCGAAATTTTAATTTCGAGAAATTGCTACCGTATGAATAGGAGTAGCGTACATAGTGTACTCATGTGTATGGCCGTGTGATATGCATTTGCAGATTATAATTACTAAAGCGAGATTATTTTAGAACTGACATTTCGTTTAAAAAGAAAACCTATTATCTATTAATTATAGCATACTGGAGACAGGTGATAGGTTAACTAGTGAGCTATATTTGTTACCGTGCAAAAAATTTAAAACCATTTATAGCTAGCAGCCACGTGTTTAATATCACACGAGTCTAAAAGCCTGTGCCGATCTGAAGCTACCGACATATTATAAATAGGCTCCCCGAGCGGTACTTAAATATACATACGTCGCACCGTGAACAGCCAGCCGCGATACCTTACAGCCTGGCTATATTTATTTTTAACACAATATCTATTTATACATAACCACTAGATTTAACCTGCACCGGCGAGCTATTCTTACGACAAGATGCCATGCATTTTCTTAAATAAAATATTCCACATATTCTCTCTTTTAAAAATATATTAAAAACAAAACCATACACTTTCATTCATAAAACCACGCAACCTATGGTGATACAAGATATAAAAAAGTACGACCACAGTATAATGAGAACTAATTAGTATCTTAGCGTTTTATTGAATAGAATTAATAATTTGTTAAGAGGAGTAATTATTGAAAACAATACGCCTAATGTCCATGTTCATGTTGTATTGTATAGTCTCGGGCTATTCAACAAGCATAATGGGAGATTGACATCCCAATTCTAATTAGAACTAAGTATACATCAACATACATTATACAGGTCACAGACCATCGGCTATATTGTTCTCCAATTGGACTGAAACCGCTAAACGGAGAATAGTACCTTTGTTAATGCATGGAATTGTGCACAATAATGTAATTAAAGTAAATTAGATTGGCCGCCTTGATGGAACTTTCAACAAGAAGAAACAGTAACTACTTAAGCCGAAGTTAGAAGTCAAATTTATACTGGTGCAACGCCTTTCTGATATTATCAAGTAACTTAAGATTTCTCTGGAGTGAAGCTTGAGTGTTCGTGTACATCTGAACATTATATGACTTGCATTTCCTTTGCCTCGCGGCTCATTATATTATCTTTGTAGTTGTAAACAGACGCCAGTTTTATCTAGTATTGCGTAATAAGAAATTATTTCTCATTTACAGTAAATAATTGAATGGTGAAAGAATGGGCGCCCCGCTTTTGTGCCTAGATAACATTTTGTCCATCATTTATTCAGTTAAAACAATCGCAACTCTATTTCATAGCGCATACATTTTTAAATAGAAAATAAAACACGCTATATAAAATTGTCCATTACACCGGATTCATACGAAGTGCTTTTTGAATTCCACCAATGTACTATATGTCCCATTTTACGCGATACTATATTCTGTTATTGCCAAATAAATTTTAACAAAACCCGTCTACGGATTGAATATATCAAAAACAAAACAAAGACACCATGAAAGCTCTGCACTCGAACTGATAACTTTTATGGAGAATTTCCATATTTCAATAGCCTTTGAAAGATTTTAAAAAATTGTGCCTGCATAAAGCCTGTTCCCGTTATCCAGGTAATATGGCATACAATTTGTTTATGGATTTATATTTCTTTTGTAAAACATTTCAGGTTTTTATAAAAATATATTGCAGCCATACAAATTGAAAACGAATTTTATCTTTATCGTAATTAAAAACAAATTTCTGGGAAAACTTTTAAGTAATATGAAAATGGTGCACACACTTAATATGTTGTGGAGGACACTCTATTTGAGATACCAACTTTAACCGAATTTAATTCTATGATATCACCAACTTAATTAAAAAAAAAACAAATAGAAAAATAATTAACATTTTTAATATAAAATTAAATTATGTCCAAAATATACTGAGTGCTTACTGTTAACTTAAAATTTAAT